TCAGAATGGCTAGCAAATGTAGTATTGGTACCAAAGAAAAATGGAAAGATGAGGATGTGCATAGATTTCACAGATCTGAACAAAGCATGCAAGAAAGACCCGTTTCCGCTACCAAGATAGATGTCTCCGTTGATAAGGCGGCAGGATGCAAGCGCTTTTCCCTCTTGGACTACTTTTTAGGATATCACCAAATCTGGCTCAACAAAGAAGATGAGGAGAAGACAAGTTTCACTACTCCCTTCAGAACTTATTGTTACATTAGAATGCCCGAAGGACTAAAGAATGCAGGATCGACCTTCGCTAGAATGACGAAGGCAGTCCTTAGCCCACAACCATAGAAAAACATCATAACTTATGTTGATGACATTGTGGTAATGATCAAGAATGAGGAAGATCATATAGCGGATCTAAAGGAAACCTTCGCCAACCTCAGGGAAGTAGGCCTAAAGCTAAACCCAAGCAAGTGTGTTTTTGGTGTCAACCGAGGAAAGATGCTTGGGTACATCATAGGACCCAAAGGTATTTGGGCTAACCCAAGAAGACGAAGGCTATAATCTCAATGGTGGAGCCATCAACCAAAAAGGAAGTGCAAAAACTCATTGGAAGAATAGCAGCATTGAACAGATTCATCTCAAAATCAGCAGAGCTCAGCCTCCCATTCTTCAAAGCTCTAAGAGGCGGAGACAAGGTGGAGTGAGGACCAGAGCAGTCGGAGGCCTTCCATCAACTTAAAAACTACATGACTAGCAAACTCTTGGTAATAGTACTAGATCCAGAGGCCCCACTACTATTATATGTGGCAGCCTCTGACCATGTTGTTAGTGGGGTACTTGTTTAGGAGAAAGAAGAAGGGTCGAAGGTCATTCAACAGCCTATCTACTACATCTCAGAAGCCTTATCAAGAGCAAAGCTAAACTACATGGAAATCAAAAAAAATTGCATACGATGTCCTCATCTCATCAAGAAAGTTGAAGCACTACTTCCAAGCACATGAGATCATAGTGCCTTCTTCGCAACCGCTTAGAGACATTTTCAATAATAAAGAAGCCTCTAGAAGAATAGGAAAGTGGGCAACAAAATTATCCTAGTTTGAGCTAAACTATGTGTCAAGAACAACAGTCAAATCGCAAGCATTAGTAAACTTTATGGCAGACTAGACACCTTCGACACATCAAACACCGCAACCTCAACCCCAAGTCTGACACTCTACACAGATGGAGCATGGGGACACTTGGGAGCTGGGACCTCCACCGTTTTGATAGCACCATCAGGCCTCCGCACAAAGTATGCAGCAAGATTGGAATTCAAAGCAACTAATAACATAGCAGAATATGAAGGCCTCATACTGGGCCTCAACAAGGCAAAGGCACTTGGCGCAAAGACGGTATTAACAAAAACAGACTCCCAAGTCATAGTAGGACAGGTTGAAAAGGAATATGTCGCAAGAGAACCGGAGCTGACCAAATATTTGGCCACGGTAAGGGCACTTGAGAGGAGGTTCCAGGGATTCACCCTGAGTATATACCAAGAGTAGAAAACACAGAAATAGATGAACTAGCGAAGGCAGCAGCAAATAACATGCCCATTCTAGAGGGAACTTTCTACCAAATATTGCAAGCACCACCAACCCAAGCGACTACAAAGGCATTCAAAACAATCCTAATCACCGAATCCAAAGACTGGAGGCATTTGATTAGAGATTACCTGAACAATATCCATCACTCAGAAGATGAAGCAAGCACAGCCAGAATAGCGGCCAGAGCAAGAAGTTACACACTAATAGATGGCACCTTGTACAAAAATGGGGTAGTCCAACCATTACTTAAGTGTATAATTCAAGGCGAAGGCAGAGAGCTCCTCCAAGAAATCCATTCAGGGACTTGCGGTTCTCACATCGGCCCAAGGCATTGTCCACGAAGGCAATCAGACAGGGATTCTATTGGCCCATGCATATCAAAGATGTGGAGCAAATCATCAAGACATGTGAAACATGCCAGAGCACAACCCCACACCAATCAAAACCTTCGGCTGTAGTACAACTCATCCCACCCACTTGGCCATTACAAAGATGGGGCATGGATCATGTTGGACCTCTACCACCTTCGCAGGGGGGAACAAATTCATAGTAGTAGCAATCGAGTACTTCACAAGATGGATTGAAGCCAAGCCACTAGCAACAATATCTTCAGAAACAATAAAGAAGTTCTTTTGGCAAAACATAATCTGCAGGTTCAGGGTACCAAGAACTTTAACAGTGGACAATGGGAAACAGTTGACTCAGACAAATTCAAAGAATTCTGCAAAAGCACAGGCACAAAAATAGCCTTCGCATCAGTCTATCATCTAGAGTCAAATGGAGTAGTAGAAAGAGCTAACAGAGTGATATTCTGAGCAATCTCAAAAACCCTATTTAACATTCGCAAAGGTAAGTGGGTAGAGGAACTACCAAAGGTGGTGTGGTCTCATAACACCACAACATCAAGGACGATGGGCTTTACACCATTTAGGCCCCATGTTCAGTGAAGAAGCAATGCTACCCGAGGAGATCAAGCATCAGAGCCTCCGAGTAATGAAATAGGTCTTGGCAACATACGAAGAACACTCCAAAGAAACGATTGAAGGCACAAGACTGGAAGCAGTAGAAAACATCACCAAATACCAAGAGCAAACGAGGAGATGGAGAGACATCTAGGTGGTCAGAAAGCTCATATGAGATGGAGAACTAGTCCTAAGAAGGAAGCACAATGCGGCTAATGCAGGAAAGCTCCAACCAAAATGGGAAGTCCCATACACGGCGAAGGCCGCTGGAAGACCAGGGTCATTCTTCTTGACAGACGGCGAAGGTAAAACAACCACTCATACCTAGAACATCGATAGTTTGCGTAGATTCTACATATAATTGTAAAGGGGTGGCCTCCACGGAACTATAAGCGAAGGTCACCTCACCTCTCTCAGTTTTCACATTTTCTCTTTACATTTCATGCAAAAGGGCCTGTACTCTTTTCCTCACAAAGGGGGCTCCTAGCGGAGATGAGGTTTTTGACGAGGCAGGACCTATGTAAAACCCTCTAAAATATAAAGAGGAATTCTCCCAAGAATACTATGAAAAGCGAAGGTCAAAAGTGGCTAGCAATGGAGCCACAACATTCGACAATGACATCACGACAAAGAGGAGCTTCCACTGCCTTAGCCGAAAGCTTTAAAGCATGGAATGACCTCTGCTGCTAAATTAGCGCGCAACCTTGACAAAGCCCTGTCCACAATCAGGCATCAAGGATTCATCAAAATGGCCAAAAGGCCAAAAAAACCCGACAAAGACCTACCTTCGTTGTAGGCATCGGGCAAGAAAGTACCTAGCGAAGACCTATCTTTATCAGGCACCAGGAGAATATCAGGAATTAATGACTAAAGTACAATAGGAATAAAGAGCCAAAGATATGCCAGGTACAAAGAAATCTGTCAGTCCTATTACGACTTCAAAATGTATCTAAGTAATAAACCTCGGCCAACCACCAAGATTTATTAAATCGTACAAGTAGTATACTATAAAACCTAGCGCCCTCCCCCAGCACTAACTCCAGAAGAGCGCTAGGGGGGAAGTCAAGCCAACCAAGAGCCAGTGCACTTTAGAGCAAAGCAGAGAGAACCATGGAAGCCGGAGTTTCCTTAAAAACAAGATAACAAAAGATACCATGCGAAGACTCATAAATACAGCAGCACGCGTAGCCCGATGAAGGCCACATTGAGGTTGTACGCATCTTCCACATGGTGTCGTACAACCTCCATGGGGCGTTGTATGACCATAGTCTAGCAGCAAGCAATCAGTGTCAGAGGTCGCGGGAGGGTATCGCACAAAGACTCGTAACATCCGCCCACAACCAAAGACACCATCTGGCACAACCCGGCATCAACCATGTTCAACAGGAGTGCAGTTGCTCTAGCATGGCCGAAGGCAACTACAAAACAATCCAGACGCAAGCGAAGACAACGCTCAAGAAATGCTTCATCAACCTCCGTTGCCTGCTCAAATTTCACTGTGGCCTCTGGAGAAGCATCAAGATCGAAGACCAACACCTTCGATGAGGGCTCAAGTTGTACCAAAGCCTTCGCAACAACTACAAGATCAAATATGAGCACCTCAGCTTTTCCACAGTGATGTGCTAGAGCCTCCCTATCGATAGCTCGAGACCAAAAAGCGGGGGCTACAACAAATCAAGTATGTAACAGAGCTTCCACGCAAGACACAAGGTTGAAGACCAGCGCCTCAACTCCATGCAGACACGCAAGTTCATCCTCAACACGAACCATAGAAGAGAGAAGCGGAGACAAGAGTAAGAAAATAAGCACAATCTACTAGAGCCCTTCGGCCTAGGTAGCAACTACAACCAGAATCTTCAATAAAACAAGCGCGCAACTAAGCATTTCAAGAAAAAATTATTTGAAGAAAAGTAGATATGATTACAACAACAGCGCATTAGAAGCGTAATGATACAAAAGCCCGAACACAATAACAGAGCAAAGCACAAAAGGCATCAAGCCTTCCAAACAACAGCTACAAGGGCGCGAAGGCCGGTCAAATAAATCAACATAAATCTAACACTAAGCCGGCGGTCGAGACCCTCGCCAAGCAAGCGACCTAGTGAACTCAGCACGTTCGTCATCTATATCATTCACCACGAAGGTCCACATGTCACAAACAGAACGACTTGGGAAAGTCTCACGCTAATACCCCCATAGTTCGCCACTAACATAAACACCATCTTGATACAAAATTAAAGGAAGCACGTCCTGCACAGGCCCAGAAGAGGAAACCTGTGTAGGACAAGTTTAGGATTAAACATCCACTAGGCGAAGTTGCCAACAAGACAGCAAAATCTACAATATATATGGAAGACCGTTGTCCCCAACACATCCATCCTAACTTCTATAGCTAACAGCTAAAAAACCTAAAACAATACACCTCCGAATCAAGCTGGGGTTGGCGTAGGTTCCCTGGACTTCTAGACTTCAGCAGCACCGGAGGGAGCCTTCGGAGTCGTCGCCTCTGTAGCAGTACCATGCACAGCCTCCACCTTCTGCAACTCTTGTAAAATAGCACAAAGCCTATAAACACAACAAACAAAGGACACACAACCTAGGGAAAAAATAACAAGCCACAAAAAAGGGGGGAGAGAAGAAATAACAAACCACAGCACACCGGGCCTCCGCCATTGAACAAGCCTCCGCCCAGCCAAACTTCACCCAGAATGACTTCATAAAGTTACGAACGGATCTTCTAACATCGCGCGAAGTCACTCCGAGCTCAGCCGGGCCCTCAAGGTCCTTCTCCTTCACGCCTTCGACGTGCAGACAGCTATCTTGCCTCAGCATCTTGGAGAGATTGGTGGCAGAAGCCAGCGCTCCAAAATCGACAGTTCCGCCAATGAAGTCAGGAAGCTTGAGGAAGTTGGCCTCCATCCAGAGAAGACAACGAAGATGTGGAGCCCCCGAATTGTTCAAGGGCACCCACGTAAAGCTCAGCCGCAGCCAATCCTACAGTTTTGGCATCCTTTAGGCACCTAGTTAGCATGTCCATCTGCGCCTTCAAGGCAACACCGGACTCCCTCTCGGCGTCCACCGTCTTGCGAAGGTTATCAGCCGTCTCAATGGCCTTTAAGGCACGTTCGGCAGCCAATTGCTCGGCATCCTTCCCACCCTCTACCTCCTTGTTTAGGGAATCAACCTTCCTCTGAAGGATCTCCAAATCACCGCGGGCAGCACGGAGACCCCCAACCTCCTCTGCAAGTCGGGTCTTCTCGGCCTCAAGAATTTCTAGCTCCTTCTTTAGGGCTTCGATGGCCTCCAAAAGATAGTGACTCTGCCAGGATGAAGGTTAGCCATAGCACAGCAGAAGAACAAAACAAAGAAGAACAAGAGGAAAAAATGAAACATACCACGCATTGCTGCTCTAAGTTCATTCGCAGTAGCTTGAAATAATCAACATGTTTTAGATGGTGGCAGAGGCAGCCTAAAAGCAAATCAATCATAAGAAACATAATATCAAAGGTAGGGAAACAAAAAACAAGAAAAGCAACCTCCTATATCATTGTAAACAGCCTCAAGGACATCCGGCCACCCACTTATTGTGCTAACAAAAGCCCTCAAACCGTGAGGACCTTATTTTGAGGACAAGGCCTGCCAGCATCAGACCATGCCCTCAAAGGGGGAAACTCTTGGGACACGGTTACGAGTTGCGCGGAGGCTAAAGTTCACAATAACAATGCGAACTAATGATTAACAAGTTTTACATGAGCAACGTGCAGGAAAATATGGAGGAACCTTAGCTCGGCCAGGCGCTCTGGGCAAAGGTCCGGAGGATGCGGTGAAGGTGCCTGAGCACGACCAAGGGCGAAGGCACTCGTGGCACAGGTGAAGGCCTGAGGAAGACACCCCAAGCAGAGGTCTAGAAGACCGGAGGAGGACCAACGTAGGCGGCGGCGCTGGGTACCGGGCCGCTGATGGGCCCTTGGCGGCGGCCCAACAAACAGAAGCGGTTGAGAAAAAAAGATGTCCAGTCTACCCTTAGTAGCTTGTACTAGCATGGGAATATTCCGAGGATGTGCTACAGCTGTCGGAGGGTAAAGTTGTAAAGAGTTGCAGTAGCAAACAATGCCCTATAAAAGCGGGTATAGATCCTATAGAAAGGTTGGTTGGTGAATACATTTATGAAACCCTAATTGAGCATGAGCCCACCATCCACCTTCCACACCTTCGCCCAGGGCACTCGACTGGGCGAAGGCTTTTCGTGTCCCACCTGCTGGAAAGTCGGCTTTCTAACAACAAGCAAGGGTACATGAGGAGGAGTAGACCGTGTTGACAAAGTCAAGCGGAGGCGCAAGAGGACTTGGTGATCAGACGATCAAGGATGACAGTGACATGTTTCGAGATCGTGGAGGAGGCGTAGCGGATACGCTTCTCCAAGGGGTTTGCTAGTTTGGGCCTCAAAACCACCGCGGATTGTTTTCGGGTTTGGGCCTCAAAACCTGGTTGGAGTTTCGGCAGGAACGGGAGGAGGCACGTGGAGTCATCGCGAAGCTTGAGTCGAGGCAAAGCAAAGTCATGAAGAGCCCATGGACATAGGTTGCACAGATCTTGAGTTGGACATTTTTCCCTTGGGTTAAGTGGTTCAACCAAAATATCTAAAGGAATTGTTGGGATTGTGTAATAGCTCTATAAATAAGGAGGGGCTTCTCCTAACCAGCCTATCTCTCTAGTCTTTCATTTCTAGAGTGGTTAGATCTTTGTTTTCCGTCTAAGCCTGAGTCTGTACTAGTAGAGATCCAGTGTACAGAATCAGACCTCTACTGTGTTAAGTTGTCCTATGTAAGAACCAAATCTTGTGGGTGCAAGAAATAAAGCAATTGTTCCTCTGAGATCTAAGTTCCTACTTTTTGTTTTTTATTTGAATCGGTTTTTCCTCTCTCAAACCCCCTTCTCTTGCGTTTTGGGTGAGTTCGTTTTTCGAGGGATTTGAGACCGATTGGGATGGTTGGATTTGGATACGTGCTATGACACATGAGGAACATATCTTCAAGTTGATTTGACCAGATTCCTCATTAGCACAGGATTGGGGGATTTTGAGTAAAGTTTGGTAAACCCCAATCCGGTTCGGAGTTTTCTCGATCTGCGGAGTTCCTTGATCTTTTGGAGTTGATCTTTTGGGGATAGTTTATAAACATCTCAGGGAACATCTTCAAAATTTGAGCCCCATTGGACTTTGTTTGAATGGATTTCACCTTTTTGAAGTTTGGTTTCGGGCTGCTAAAATTGTCAACGTAGGCCAGGCCGACCTAGCATCTAGGCTAGGCCAACCTAGCATCCCGGCTAGACCTGGTTTGCACCCTAGGGAGGCCGGATTTGTCTGGGAAGGAGGCCTCTCCAAGGTGATTTTGAGTTCCTAGTGTTTGTTCTTTGATCTGCTTGTTCCATGGGTTTTCTGAGATGCCCAGGAACTTTTTCAAATCATCAAGTCACTAGTTGGATTGAGTGATCTTGCTGTGAGCTCTTTCTTTCTGTTGATGGAAGTTGAGAGCCTCACTTTTGGATCTCGGTGAGTTTCGGTGTTGCGATTGGTTTTCCGTTTTTGTGAGTGTCCCGTTGTGTTCTTTGGTCGTCACCGAAAACATCTAGCCACCAGTTGGCTCGAGGGCACCACATTTATGAGATTTGGTGTTATGGAGGGTTGTTTGGGACAGCGGCCATTTCGAAAGAAAATTTTGATTGGCTCCAGCCACACCCCTCTGGTCGCCTTTCTTGGTCCTTCAGATAGTCGTTTTCTACATTAGTCACTATTAGTGTGGGGTTGGACTACATGAGATGAATAACCATTTTCTAGGAATGAACTACATGAGATAGATAACCGTTTTCTACGCATTAGTCACTGTAGTCAATGGGCCCACATACACTAACAGCGACTAACGGGCAGAAAACGGCTAACCATCTCATGTGTCTCTCCAACTAAAAAAGAAAATAGGACGGTCCTATTCTTTCTAGCCAAATAAGTGCCAAGACGGTCCCATCCTAAAAACCAGGGATAAATTCATTCCATCCTGTATCTTCTCCAAACGAAACACATACTTCGTGTCTCAGTAAGAAGTCATTTATTCCTTTCACCTGCATTACAAAAATAAAAGAAAAGAAAGAAATGGAAACCTTGAATTCATCAGTCACTGATCTCTGCTTCCTTCTTCCATGGAATCCAGTGCATGGCTGGTAGTTCTAATCTCATTTGATCCAGAAAGATCAAGTGACAGTGACTGATGGTGTAAATTCGCGTTTGTTGTTGACTGTATATTCCTTTCACCCTCGTTTTGATGAATGTGCTCAAAGTACGCATGAGGCCAAACTCCTGTTGTTCAAATTGATCGAAAGTTTCACTGTTATAGACTATGTTTATTTAAAACGATATGTATTCGTAATTCAGAACAAGCTAAGCGCCTAAGCCCAATGGTTTTTAATTCAGACTTGCTTAGTCGTGTGTTTTTAGTAGTTGCAGAGGACACGTTACAAATTTAAGGAAGATTTACTATTCTGACATGCAACTAAGCATCATACCATGTTTACTGTAGGGTGGTGGAAAGAACTGAAGGTAGCAAAACGAAGCAATCACCAATCCTGCAGAGTTGTACCAAGCATATATAATCAGCTGCTGTGTGACCTTCAGGAATCATAAAAGGTATAGTAGGATGGAGAGCAGCTGAACTGAGTAACTTTAGATGGTTACTTACCAAGAACTCCACCTGCAAACACATCCTGCCAGTGGTGCCAGTAGTCACTGACTCGCGACACCGCAACCATCGTTGCAAGAAGCAGAGGCAGAAGAACGATGCACAGCTTGGCGACATGGCCTCCTCGATCGAAAGCCTTGATTTTGCCGGCCAGGTACCATGACAGAAATCCAAGCCCCGCAAAACAAGCTTGAGGAGGAGAAGAAAGACAGCCACCAATGTATAAGCAGAGGATATTGCAATTTGCAAACTGGGGAAATGGACAATCCAAGTCTGGCAAACTGCATTCAGAGAAGGCTAGCTTTCAGCATTTACCTGAAGAATGCCCACTTGGGAAGCTCTTGTGGCCCTCTTCGATTACGCTCCGCTGTCCGTGGCATATGACACCTCCGGTGATGTTGTTGTACTTCTAAAATGGAAATAATGTTCAGTTAAATAAATTAGTTACTACCTCAGAATTACAGCTTCCATCAACATTCTAATTCTCAAACTAATGAACAGTCTCGAAGTGTCGACAGGAAGCAACAAGCAAGCTATAGCACTGATCCTCTGACGAACCAGTGGAATGAACTCTGACAGATCAAGTCACTGAAGTTACAATCGCAACGACTCACCGGGACTCCATCAGGAAAGCAGCGCCAAAAGAAGTCCGGGCGCGGCCGGCCAACTGCATCCTTGATCGCAACGGTCAGGATGGCCGTTATCAGAACGGAAAACAGAAGGCCTGCTAATAAGCTGATGATGACCACACATCCCATGAAAAATCAAATCAGCTAGCGTAAAAATAAGAACTTAACCTACCAAGAATAGCATGATGCAGGTCATAGACGTTTCTCCTCTTGATGTATATCCCAACGATGAAAATCATCGGCACAACGATGGCAATAATCTGTTTAAAAATGAATTCGAAAACAATCAAGGTTCTTCGTTTCTGGATAGTAGAAATTGCAGTTGCAATTTCATCTTTTGAGATATATAAGCATGGAACCCAGAACGCATATGATTTTTTTTTCAGAAGATGTGGTGTAGCATAGATGTACCATACCGGCACGGCCCAGCTAGGCACGGTGTTGTCCTTCATGGGGTACCGGAGGCTCGCCATCATGTCTTCTGCGACGAACCGGTGGAACGGCTGGAGAAGGCCGAGCACGGCGTACATGGCGACAAGTAGGAGCAGCACGATCCAGTCGAAAAGGTGCAGCCTAGCGACTTGCTTTCCGTGCGTCCTCAAGTATGGGCGCATCGCGGTCCCAGCTCCCGAGGCCGGGGTGGTCGCCGGTGGCGGCATATCTTCACCTTCAAGGCTTCAACTGCACACCTCGACAGCCTCGGTGAGGCGACGAGCTCCTCCAATCCTCCTCCCCTGAACGGAACGGAAGAGGAGGAGCTTGTTCATCAGGGCGTTTTCTTATCTTAGATTCTTATTAGGCAGGGGAGATGTTGACAAGCTAGGGGATAAGGGGAACCTAGAAAAGTTGTTGACTTTTGCTAACTCGCTGGTTCCTTCTGTGACTCATCTATCGCTTGAGGTGCTTTTCTGTGCTTGTTCCGGGAAGATGGAAGGAAGCAATGCAACATGTACCCTGGAACCTTGATCTCGTTCTGGTAGTACCTAACAAAAGTTATGAGCTTTAACACTGCATTGAACTTTCGTACAAAATGGTAAAATATACACATGTTACCACCGTGGAAATTTTAGTTTCTGTGTTTGTCCTCAAAACTTGATTCATTTTGCAACCCTAAACATTTCAAACGCTATCCCCTCTGGACAGTCCACATTTTAAACATATTTATTCCATTGAGAAATGGATATCATGATATCTGTTCTTTTCGAACATGGATAAGGGTATGGATGTGGAAAGTGAAAACGGTATGTCCAGCGCCCGGACGTCCATAAGGGGCTAGCATCTGGACGCCCACAGTTGCTGCGCTTGCTTCATGTGGGGACCCGTGCCGCTCCGTGTCCCGTACCCGCACCATGTCTCGTGCCTCACTCTATGGCCCGCACCACTCCGTGTCCCGCGCGCACTTTGTGTCTCACGCCCACACGTGGCGCCCCCTTCACACCCAATTGCATGCAGGCGGGCCCAGCAGCTGCAGTAGGTGGCTTCTACAGATGGGTCTCACTGCAACATGTGCAACACCATATCTACTTTTGCAACATCTAGATGAAACACTTGCAAGATACGTATGAAACACCAGGGAAACACATGTGTAGCCATTGTAGAACATATGCAACATCCAGATGAAAACACTTACAACATCCAGATGAAACATATGCAACATCCGGAGGAAACACTTCCAAACATATGCGTGAAACATATGCAACACCTAGATAAAACACGTGCAACATACGTCTGAAGCATCTGAAACATTTGGAATAATATACTTGCAATATACCTGTATAGCCACTGCAACATATGCAACATCCACATGAAACACTTGCAACTTGCAACATAAAAGACTTGCTACAACATAAGACTAAAAATAGATGAAATATTTGGAACTTACTCTTACAACATGTGCAACATCCCGATTACTTTTGCAACATCCTTATGAAGCATAACATACGCTTGCAACATGCGCCTTCAACGCAACGCAACATCTATTTGCTGCTCAGGAGAATGGGGGTTCACCTGCATGTGGAGTTCACCGGAGGCAGCGGCCCGGCGACGCTTGGATGTGGCAGCGACGGCTGCACGACGTGGAAGGGAGACATTGGCCTCGCGACCCGGCTGGGAAGCCGCACCTGCATGACTGGGAGAGGGCAACAAAGCATGCTGTGCCTAGCAGGGCCGGCAGCCGAGCGCCGAGTGTGTTGTGCCTAGCAGGCCCAGCGCCCGAGCGCTGCGCCTCATAAGCGGCTCGCTGGCCTAGCGTCGTCGCGCACGATCGGCTGCCGTCAGGGCTCGCCTGCCTGTAACACCCCTGGTGTTACGAGCTTACTTAGCACCGAGATTTAGGTCCGTGAAGGATTAGCCTAACACGTTTTCGTCTTTTTAAATTTTATAACGCACGTGAGGCGAAAAACAATTTCTAGGAACAAGGATCAAACATAACTTGTATTTAGTACTTAAATAAAAATTGAAGTATAAGTTTAGTAGATGGAAATGCAACTTTAACTTTTAAAAATAGATGTTGTTAACTAGTGTTTTGGGAGCTCAAAAATCAAATTTGACGTTAAGATAAGCTCTTTCCGTTAAGTCGGCAAACACTTGAACTATTGTTAAAATACCATTTTTGGACGAATTATATTGAACAAAATAGTTAAATGGTGCTTAGATATTTTGCTCCTACGGGTTAGTATAAGGTATGGACTATTGCATGAAGTATTTGTTGGTTGAAGTTAACAAGGTTTAGATCTATTAAAAATTGTGACAAAAGAGTTAATGGTTGCTTAGCCTCAATTGAAATCCTTAACTTTTCTAAGTATGGAAAAGTAGTAAGACAATGCTATTTTGATATTTAATTTCTAACAAAAATGTTTAAACCCTAGTTGCATGTTTTGGTATTGTCGATTGCATCAAAGTGAGTACATGAGCATGGTGTAGGTTGAAGTTGTGTTGGAGATCACGTTGCTCTTATAAAAATTGCCCAAACTTCGTTAGAACGCGTTGCAACCGCGTTGTTGGCGCTCTGTTCACGAACCGGCACTCCAGCGACGAACCCAAGTTGGCATCCTTGTATCTCCCTCTTTGGTCGCTCTCTGGACGTGAGGTTTACTTCGTTAGCTGGGTGTTAGTATCGACTTTAGGTTAGGGGAATTAGTTGAGCCTCAATCGTGATTGTTAGCGGCTTTTACTTCGCTTTAAAATGCGTGCACGTCACCCGTGATACCTCTCGGCACGAGTTGGACAGCACGCGCGTGGGCGCTGCTGGCACCGGGCTCAGGTCGTGGCCGTGCTGCTGCCGCTGGCCGGCTCGCGCCCCCGGGTCATGCCGCGCAGCGCCTTGGCCTCGCGTTGGCCAGCTCTGGTCGGCTGCAGCCAGGTTTCCACTGTCGCGACATGCGCAAGCCACCCTTTGGCTGCCGAGCCACGCGTGGAGTCGAGCCCTGGCTGCGGCCATCGTTGCCAGGTCAGCGTGGCAATCGCTCCGCCCTCCAATTCATCTACCGCGCCGAGCCGTGTCTTGGTCGCAACCGCCCTCTCGTGTGCACGCGCTCTCAGCCATGCACCTCACCTACCGCCGCGCCGCTGCTGTGTCCCGTGGCGCGATTCCAGCCGCTCATCCCATCTACCTCTGCTGCCACAACTATGCGTACCGTCCCACCTGCGAGATAGGGAGGAGAGGACGGGTTGTGTATATCGGTAGTGCCACGCCAGCACGTGGTCGGAGTCAATGTCGCATTCGAGGCGCCGCGCTCTCCGCTCCTTCAATTCGCCTAGCTCAAGGCTTCTCAGTCCAATTCCTCACACCAGTGAGTAGCATAGGTAGTTAGCTAGACGCCCGGTTCCCCTCAAGCCCGGCCAGTCACTACCCACCGGCAAATTGACGTTTTTGCTCGCCGCCGGTCATGTGCGCCGCCATGACCAGAAGAATGGGGGTAAGGCATGTAGGAGTGGTAGCAGTTCGATTGCTCGTAACCCTGCACTCGCCTTGACTCCCTCTATCCGGTGCTCGCACTGTTTTGGCCAGGGGACTCGTCGGCGACGTGGTGACGCGTCGGTGTCCATCGTAGAGCGCCGCCGCCCCGCTCGGTCGCACGTGGCCAGACCGCCACAGCGCTTCCCAGCTTCAACCGTCAGTAGGGTGTACACCACGGTGGGCTACGGATGCTTTCATATTCTATTGGCATCAATCACCGCTCACACACAATGAGACCGTATTGCCGTCAGAGAGAGCATCATCAAGTGTCTATGTTCTGCCGTCGGAGAGAGCACATCATCAAGTGTCTCAGTTCTGGTCTCAATGTCCATAACTATGTGTACTACGTCTTTTTAGTTGATTGATTAAAAACATACACACCTAAATTTCGAGGACTTGAGTTGTATGGGCATGATCCATTATTACCTCTCAACCGACTAAGCTAGGTTTAGTTCCTATACGGAGTAACAAAGTCGCTCAAGAAAACTAGTAACACATTCGACGGAGCTAATCAATTGCCATCTTGTGGAGGTGACATGGATGAACACATAAATCCCTTACCCCACAATACAAAGCATTATGTGATTCATACTACGACCAAGACTCTGCATCACGCGGCAGATCAGGAGCCCGCCACCCTATACTCGGTGATGTCATGATACAAAATTGGTAACCCTGTAAAATGTATGTAAGGTGCCACCTCGGCAATACGATGAGACTAAGAGAAGCATTTCTACTATACGCATGTCAGTTGTTACCTATGCAACTTCACAGGGAAATGATTCGAACTAGGAGGATCCGGACCTGGAAGCTTGACGAACGACGGCCCGTGTGCTACTGGCGAACGCCACAGTGGCGCTAGGCTCGGAGCCTCGGATCACATTTGATCCATCGATCCTCGCACATAAGGCAACATTAGCATCCGTAAGCCGTCTTGTCTCTGTCATATTCGATGGCAGGTACGATTTTGGATGATGTTTGAGCTAAAGTTATTCTAGAAAGGAACCACCTCATCATAATCTAAAATTTTAAATTTTATGACTATAAGAGACACTAGCATACCATTCTACGAGTTATTCCTTTGTTACACTACACATGCATTAAGGGATTGTAAATTTCCAAAGACAATTTAAAGACGGCAAACAATGTACGGATCGTTGGTTTTGTCTCAAATCACGTGGCAAAAAAGACCCACCTACCTACCTGTACCCAAGTACTTAGAACTGTAAAATAGCACACTTCACAAGATAATACCTTAGTACTGTATGTAACAAAGTCAATCATCAAAGCTAACCATTCTGCCATTTCAATCCTGTCAGGATGGCATGAACACCCGAACCTCTCGCACCCCACATTATCCAATTGCTACGACTGAGCCTCCACATAAGAGGCAGGTCAGGAGCTGAACATACTCAGTAACATGACGCAAATTATCACCCACATACACCAGCATACCACCTTATTATTATCCCCACGCACACCGTAACACCGGCTATACCACCTTATTAACATCAGCAATACCACCTTATTATACCTTGCCGCCAAAATTGACGCCCTAAGAAATAGGCAAACAGAACAGGCACTGGGTGCCTTCTCTATAGTCTATACCACACAAATGTAAGACGAGATGATGCTAAGCGTTTCTGCTATTGGAAG